CACACACACACACACACACACACACACACACACACACACACACACACACACACACACGTGGCATCCCAGAGTTACGGATTCAATCTTGGTAAGTGGGAGGAGGGGAGACGAGTGAAACTGAAGTCTGGAGGATACTGATTTCACAAGAATTTATTTTTCAGAGTCCAGTAGCCTGAGCCAGAATAAGCATACGATTAGGACTCTTCTCTGTCTCATGATGCAAAGCCTTGATGTGCTGATTACGGGCACATTCTTATCACTATTATGCGACATCTTTGCGTCGGCTATGGTGGCGCCCATGGTAGCTTTGTAATCCTGACACTCTGGGCCTGTGAACCAGGAAGAAACAGGTTGCTCTTGGTACTGGACCAGCATCAACACAAGGCCCCTCCCCACCTGGACTTCCCTCTTCCAGGGCCACACCAGGATCCTTGGGGCCCCAGTTCACCCTCTGGCTGTGACCTGTGGAGCTTGTGTTGAATCCCGACACATACAGGCAGAAGAGAAAACTGAGGTCCACAGAAGGCAAGGGGCTTCCCAGGGTCACAAGCCCAACCCATCAAAGCTGGATGACAGCAGGGGATGAAAGCTCCAGTCAGTGCCTTTCAAATTCAGCAGTCATAATCTCCTGGAGGCCTTGTGAAAATGCAAATGGCTGGGCCCCAGCCCAGAGTCTGATTCAGGAGGTCTGAGTGGGGCCTGGGAATCTGCCTTTTTGTCAAGTTCCCGGGTGGGACCCCACTTAGAGAACCACTGCTCTAAGGGATGGCAGAGCCAGTCCTGGAGGCCTGGGGCTCGGGTGAGGGAGGGGCCAGGTAAGAGGGCCTTTCTCTGCCCTCAAAGGGGTAGCAGGTAATTGGTCCAAAGGACGTTCCACTACCCACCCTCAGCAGCCCCTGCAGCACACAGGGGCCACTTACCTTATTACAGGTGATGTCAAAGTTACCCCTGTCCTGGTCCAGGGTGACTGTCCCCACACACTGTTTCACCAGCTGGAAGGGGAGGCTCGTGGTCAAACTGGAACCCCCAGCCCATAAACTCCCAGCCTCACCCAGGGGCTGAAAATCTTCCCGGAAGCCCCCTGTTCACATCCCTGGGAAGCATCCTCCAGTGCCCCCAGCCCCCAGCCTCACCCCATTCTCCTTGAAGTCACACTGCTCCGGGGGCTGCTGGGTCATCCTGGGGCACACGGTCTCCTTCACCATGAAGCTCACAGGCTTTGGGGTGTCCGGGTCCTCATCCTGGTCAAGAATCAACGTGGGGAGACTGGGCCCGGGCTCATGCTTCCTTCTCTGATCTGTCTCCCTGCCCCCACCTAGATGGCAGCCTCTCCAGCCCCTCCTGTGTGCCTGGCCCTGGGCTTGGTGCTGGGTGCATGGAAGAAGGGACAGAGCCCGTTCCAGGCCTCACGGGCACACAGAGAACAGGAGCGGACCTCAGACCAGCTCTGACAACAGCACCTGCACCTCTGACGGGCTGAGGGAAGTCAGGGGTCGCCTGCAGGTAGAAGCCTCATCACGGTAACCACCAGGCTGAGCAGAGCCCTCCCTGGTAGGGAACAAAGAAGTGCAGAGGGGACCAAAGCCAGGAAGTCACATCACAGAGTCAAGGACCCCCCCTCCATCCTTGGAGTTCCCAGAGGCCCCTTAAGCCCGAACAGGGTGTACAGGGCGCCTGTTCCCACAGTAGAGATGCTAAGGCAGGAAGCTCTCAGGCTGGGAGGGGACCCAGCTCTGGGAAGGTTTCCTGGAAGAGGTGGGAGCCCACCTAGAGGGAGAAGTCCCTTCCTGACAGGAGGTACAGCCTGAGCAGAGGCGGTGACAGCGTGGCCATGGCTGGCGGAAGACAGCCCCCTCCCCAGGGTCCTCCTGACTCGCGGCCTTGGGAGGCGGGTCCAGCTCCAGGAGGCGGTAGAGATTAGCTTCTGAGGACCGCTCGTTGAGCTGATCCAAAGCACGAATCACGGCCTCGTTGTAGCTGAGGGTCTGGGCGCTGGCCGAGGGCACCACTACTCCCAGCAGCAGTAGCCACAGTGGCCACCGCCCCAGGGCGAGGCTGGCCCTCTGAGTCTCCATGGTCCCCAAGTTGGCCTCCTCCCAGCACGCAGGACCCTCCTTTATGCCCTTCGTGGGCCTGATGCAATTGCCCAACCACGCATCTTCCTGACCTGTCCCATCCCTGATCTCCTCCACGGCTGTGAGCTAGACTTGCCTCAGCCCCTGCTGTTGCCTCACGGGATTGCTGGGCAGTGGGCAAGGGAAGCCTCCTGTGAAGATGAAGAAATGATTTCTCCATCTCCCTGACAATGTCTTGGCCTCTCCTGGGGCCCATGGGAAGTGTCACAGGCAGGGTTGTTCAAGAGTGTTGAGTCCTCCAGGAGAGGGAGGACCAGGCTCTGTCCTACATCCCCTCTGCCTCCACACTCTGGCCTCCTCAGGAATCAGGGTGACAAAGTGTATTCTCTACTGAACCTCCAGTTCTAGGCACTCCCTGGCATGCAATAGGCAGTCAATGAACATTTGATGAGTGGTTGACAGTACCACTCACAGCTAAGGACTTACACACCCAGCCAATCCCTATGCAGATGCAAAGCCCACACCATCCTTTTCTCTGCACTCAGCACTCAGACAGTGAGCTCCATTTGTCCCCTCTCCTTGATTCTTCTCCACTGCTTTCTCAGCCAAAACATTTCCTCTCCCCCGACCCCACCAAACGTGGCCTATTGCCCTGGCTTCTCCCCAGCCAAGGCTGAGAAAGGATCATCTATACCCTGACCACACTTCTTTGCTCCATCTCACCGTGAAGGCCACTGCAATGGGACAGCCCTCCCTGAAACTAGAGGCCATGCTCAAGCCTTATCTTTTTTTTTTAAATTTTATTTATTTATGGCTGCAGTGGGTCTTCATTGCTGCGTGTGGGCTTTCTCTAGTTGTGGCGAGAGGGGTTACTCTTTGTTGCGGTGCACGCGCTTCTCATTGCGGTGGCTTCTCTTGTTGTGGAGCACGAGATTTAGGCACACTGGCTTCAGTAGTTGTGGCTCACGGGCTCTAGAGCACAGGCTCAGTAATTGTGGTGTGCGGACTTAGTTGCTCCGTGATATGTGGGATCATCGTGGGCCAGGGGTCGAACCTGTGTCCCCTGCATTGGCAGGCGGATTCTTAACCACTGCGTCACCAGGGAAGTCCATCAAGCATTATCTTTAACATCACAGGCGGTGGAGCCCCTCTTTCCTCCAGAAACTGACCGATTGTCCGCTGCTGCCACTCTCCTGGGTGCCCTCCTGCCTCCCCCATGGCTCCTGCTCGGTCTCCTCCAAGGACCCTCTTCCTAAGAGGCAGGGCTGGCACAGGTGCATCCGGGCTGCTTCTCCTC